CATCAAAAAACATCCGTGAAGCAGCTGAAAATCGCTAAAAAGGACAGGCAACCTATCAAACCGCCAGCAACTACATGATCTCTTTCTAGAGCTTACCTTTCCATACTCTTCCATATATACACTGTGTTCACTTTATTGTCTCCTTTCCAAATCCAGAACTGGGCTCAAGCCTAATGTGAAAAACGTGTTCACACTGAGTCACAAAGTGTCCAGAAGACAAAGTGCGGCCAATGTCTGACATGCCAGTGATGGCAATTGACTCGATAGACAGAACAGGGTTCAAAGCAAAGAAAGAAAAGCTTCACGAAAGGATTGACAAGGAATAGACAGTATGGTTGTGAAAGGTCTAGGTCCTAGGTCTCACAAAGAAAAACGATGAGAAACGCAAATCTTTGAAGAACTAGAAACAAGAAGCTACTAGGAACAAGGGCATCGCTACTAGGGGCTCCTGGCCTTACTACTAGGAGCAAAGACGCTACTAGGAACATGGACATAAAACACTTTGTCCACGCCTGACCCATCGCGGCTGGTGGAAGTGAAGGCACAGAAGGCACAGGAACCTGAGTGCACAAGGGAAGAAAGGTCGGGAATTTCTTGTTTCTTTCAGACTTTAGGCCCTTTGGGCCTTTTCTTTTTCTTTTGCTTCATTCTTCCTTTTGGAAACAAACTGCTTGGGCAAGTTTAACTCCCACAACAGAGCGCAGCAGGGTGCCCTGCAGCATATTTTCCCATCTCCATGGAGTTCACATAGCCAAATTGTGCCTGTCCAGCTCTGACATTCGCCACATGGTGTGAATCAATGTTTGTGGGTTCCAGTGCTCAATGTATTGGACTGAAATCTTTGGGTTGGGAAGCTTTCCAAAACCTGTCTAATGGTTTTTTTGTTCCCTCTGGCCTGCGGATCAGCAAAAGGTGATCGGCCCCTGTGCAGAAAAACGCAGATGTGCAAGAGGGATATGTTTTCCGGTATGCTGTCCAGTTTTGTTCCTTCACTTTTGCCCTCTAGAAACTGTACAGAGGTGCATCAAGCACAAGGACAAGAAGTGGAGAGCAAGGTTGTGGTAAAGAGCAAGAAAAAAACACACAAAACGCAAGGCACAAACCAGCCTGGCTGGCTTGACACAGGCACTGCGAATTTCATCGCGGTTGTGAGCATACCTGGGGTGAGCAAGCACAACGATGGAAGAGTAACCAAGCAGGCGAGTTTGTCTGAACAACAAAATCGCTGCTCAACAAAAGCCTTGCCGGAAGGCTATGAATATATATATATATACACATATTGTAATATACTCTTTTGGGGTATGTGTTGTGTTGCAAGACGGAGTTCGGGAAGGTTCAAGTCCGCCCGCACCGAAGGTGCTGAGGCGTCAAACTGTATAGTTTTAGCAGGGGAACATTTTGGTTTGGGAACGCAAATGCATATTCTGCATCACGAGGTATGTCTGGGAGAGATGTGGGAGTGGGAGAAAACATTGAAAAAAACCATTGTTTTCACATATCATCTATGCCTGACTATATTTTTCATTGTTGCATCGCTTGCGTCAACGAGCCCATGAAAGGCAATCAAACAACTCCTCTCAACTGCCCATGTCTTAATGTAACTTTGATGTTTGCATCATGTGCATGAGCTAGTTGCAATTGTAGGGTCTATTCTGGTAGCATATGCATCAATTGGTTGCATGTGTATAGTTGATTGTTACATGCCTGCAAATTTGTATATGTTGGGGCCCATGAAAAAATGTAACAAATTCAAAGGAGTCCAAAAATATGTCCAACATTGTTTTGCAAACAAATATGTAAGAGGATCCAAGAATAGAGTGTTTATAGAGAGACATACCTAAAGTATGTCACGGGGTCCAAAAGTAGAATGATTTTAGACACTTCTCTATATATCATTCATCCACTTCACGCTGCGTTCATCTCCAAGTTTTGTGTCGGTCATGCACATTGTACAGTTAATGGTATACATTCACTCTATTCTTCGGACCCCTTGAAATTGTACATGTTTTAGGTGGCCAAGTTATATCAATTATATAGCAAGCATGAGTACAATTTGGACAAAGGGGCGAAAAATATCTCCAATGATGCTTGCAGGTTGCAAGCAAGACATAACTAAACAAGCTTTATGGGGCCCAAAAAAAGAGTGATTATAGATACTTCTTGCATTTTCTTCATCCACACTATGCTGCGCTTATCTCTCAGCCTTGTCTCGGTCACGCACATTGTATAGTTTATTGTACATAATCACTGTATTTGTGGACGATCTTGAAAGAGGACAATTTCAAGGGGTCGAGAAATAGATCCAATGCTTGCAAAATGCAAGTAAGACATGACTAAACAATGCATCAAAGGGCCCAAGAAAAGAGTCAAGTGATTCTAGATACTTCTTTTACCCTCTCTCTGAGAGCCACTGGTACGGGCGGTTGTCGTCGCGAAGCGACTTGAATAAAAAGAAGGCGAAAACAACATCAATGCTCCTAGTAGCGAACATTGCTCCTAGTAGTAAGGCCACGAGCCCCTACTAGCGTCCTTGCTCCTAGTAACGATGCCAGGAGCCCCTAGTAGCGATGCCCTTGCTCCTAGTCTGGATAGAACTTAAGGACTTGAACCAGCGAAGTTACTTTTTCGAAAGGAACCAGAGTTCTCCAGGATCCGAGCAAGACAAAAGGGAATGCCACCCACGGAACTCAGTTAACCAAACCAAGACCGACTTCCAACGGCCAATTCCAGCCGTCCCCATCCTGCACTGCGGATCGTGGCATCCGCCTGAAACAATCACAGCTGATGGCATTCTCCTTTTTTAGCTACTAGGAACAAGTGCATCGCTACTACTAACAAGTGCCTTACTAGTAGTAACAAGGACGCTACGAACGGGGCTCCTGGCATCGCTACTAGGAGCGATCGGACGCTACGAACGGGGCTTCCTTTTTTTTGCCCAAGGGGGTAGGCCGCTATGAGGTGTGAGGTAGCTAGTAGGTACAAGAACGCTCCTAACTACTGGACGGAGGATAGCTCGCGCTAATGATTTGGCTCCTAGATTTTTAGGGAAACCTAAGGTTGGAGGCCATCGCTGATGGCAATGCTGATTCTTACTACAAGGCGTGGTTCCATCATGCTTCATCATGTGTCGTGTCTTTTTTGGGTGTGTCAACATGACATAGCAGGACACTTCGGTGAGAGTTTATTTGAGAGAGCGGAAATTAGTTGAAGCAGCTGTGGCCACACTTCACCACCACAATCATGCTCAGTACAGCAATTTCCACACCTGTGTTGATCAAAGCTTTGCATATCTTGGTGCGGAAGAGATCCTTGGCTGACTTGTGAAGCAAAGTAACACTCACCTTGTGAAGTGGCTGCAGAAGCCAAAGCCTGAATACGCCACCTATAGACAACAGCTTTGACGCCACCTATAAAGGTGCAGTCAGGGGGCCCAGGGGGCCCACAGGGCCCATTCCCTTCCTCTCCTACGCTTTTCTTTTATCGTTCCCCCTAGTAGCGTCCGTGCTCCTAGTAGTACGGCCGGGAGCCCCGTTCGTAGCGTCCTTGCTCAGTTCGTAGCGATGCCAGGAGCCCCTAGTAGCTTCTTGTTCCTAGTAGTACGGCCGTGTGTCCTTTTCTTGTTTTTCCTGAAGGCAAATGAGGTACAAGACCTCTGCCTAGCCTAGTTCAGTTCTTCTCTGAATTTCTTGAGCACCCGGCTGGAGCCGGTCTAAGTTCTTCTCGAGCATGTGCGAAACCACAAGAGCTTCCCTGGACGCAAGCAAAGGTTGAGAAAATGTTCAGTGAAACCATGATGAAGTGTGTTCTGGCACGACGTGTTCTCACACAAGAAGAAACACTGATATCACTTTGAGAGATTAAACTGAGATAGTCCCGGGATACGTTGGATCCGAATGGCCTTTGCACAAACACCCAAGAGGTTGAACTTGCACATCTTCGTCTTCGAAAAGATACGGCTTTCTGAAGATGCACCCGCCTCGATGACTCAAGTAAGCAAATTCACCAAAGCCACCATAACCCATTTCATCTCAAAGCCATGTCCATCGCTAGCTTGGAGGCCACTGCAAGTAGGTTGCATGGAGCGCTCTGACCATTTCATCTCGTGAAAAGTCGACCCTCTGAGTTTCTCACTGCTTGTGACGCACCTGGCGATCGGCAACGCTCTTGGAACCAATGGAAAGGTGTTTCTGGATGAATGCTTTTCGTCCTAGGAACAAGGGCATCGCTACTAGTAACAAGTGCCTTACTAGTAGTAACAAGAAGCTATTAGAAACAATAAAGCTACTACTTATGTTTTTAGCCCGCTCCCCCCCCTATCAGCCTTCCGACTCGTTCTGTACTCCTGGCATCGGCCAGGACCTTGGCCGAAGGGCTGTTTCTTGGAGTTGGAAGAAGAAGAAGACGAAAGGTGGAGACGGGCCTTCTGAAAGAGGTCCAAACACCTTTTTAGAAATGAGACATATGACCTCATCGGTGCTTTTCTTTGCATGACATGCAGGTCGGACAGGATTTTTGAGGAACTGTTGAATAACGCATCTGGCTCGGATCCTTCAATGACCCACGGGTATATAACTGCTGTTCGTAATCTGGAATGTTCTTCTATATTGACGTAAACCTGAGGCCCTGGAAATGCTGTTCTAAAGCCCTGCAATCCAACGAGCTGCTTGCCAATCCTAATCATTCGCCATTGAATATCCTTTTTCCAGCGTTGGAGGACTGAATAGTCCCGAAAAGATGTCTGGCAAAAACTGCAGGCCGAGAATTGAGGCTGCAGGAAATCAAGAAAAATGCTGATGGAATCTGGCATTCTGAAGATCTCAACTACTGAGCAATTGAAGTGTGCTTCATGCTAATCTAGCACACAATGCACACACAATGGGCTCGTTCGGTCTGCTAATCTGTATCCTTTGCTATGAATACCAAGTTGCTCCCAGGAATGTGCAGAGACGACTTCGTGTTGAGGTTTCTTTCCCCTCAGCCTTCGCACATAGCGGACGCCCTTAACGCGCTTTGGCTCTCACGGGGATGCTGACCTCGTTGCGTCTCTTCCAGGGCACAGTAAAGGGATCGTTGTACTGCATGAGACGCGTGGTGTTCTCTACAATCTCCCAGGTCTCACTCTTCTCCACGAAGTCTATCAATTCTTCGGTCCTGAAGTTCATGTCAATGTCCAACTTGGACCCAATCACAACCAGAGATCAAACGGAAAACTCGGCCTCAAAGAAGAGACACGACAGAAATTGGAAAAATTACTCATAGCGGGCAAATCCCACATTCCAAAAACATCCGAGGAGTGGTACAAACTAGGGTGGAGGCCATCGCTACCTAGTAGCGATGCCCTTTGCTCCTAGTAGCTTCTTGCTCCTAGTAAGGCCAGGAGCCCGTAGTAGCGTTCTTGTTACTACTAGTAAGGCACTTGTTACTAGAAGCGATGCACTTGTTACTAGTAGCGATGCCCTTTGCTCCTAGTAGCGATGCCCTTTCCGTGGGTAGAAAGCCTTCGAAGCCTCGAATGGTTACAAGACTGCCTCGACATCTTACGATCGTCCCCACGAGCACACCGATGACAGACCCGAACGGAGACTTCACTAGATGTTTTTCATTTTTGCGGCCTAAAGGGACTGTTGTTTGTTTTTTTTAATATGCGTTCCTCCCTGATGCTGTCCTCTTTTTCTATATTTCTCTTTCTCCTTATTCTTTTCTTGATGTTTTTCTAGTGTTCTTGATTTCTCTTTTACACATGTTTGAGACCCTTCCTGACCACCCTTGGCCGAGCCACTTCTTGGCCACCGTGGCTTGTAGCGCATAGCCTCCGAAGCATGAGACGGCCAAGGTCTCGACCGGGCGCTCTTGGAGAAGCACTCCGGAGTTCTCGGCCGGTGCCGGGGCCGTCTCCAAGGACGTCCAATATTTGCTGGGCATGATGAACCTGAAGACGACTCCGACCATCAAAGAAGAAGCAGGAGGAGGGGAGAAGAAGGAAGAGGGAAGAAAGAGAAGAGACAAGAGAGAAGAAGAACGTGCAAAATGCTGATTCAACCAAAGGACGACATGGCTCCACTGTCTCGATCCATCTGCACAGGAGTTGTCATCGCCATCTTCTCGTTCCGAACATTTTTCTTTCCAAAAATGTAGTCGGCAAGCATGAAGAAGGACCGGTTATTCGCCACCTCTGCACCTCCGCATTAGAAAAGCCAATTGGCATCTGAGAAACAGCGATGCTCAAGCTACCTTTACCTTTCAAGACAAGAGTTTACATTCACTTGTCATAACCATGTCATAACTCTTACAAATCAGTCAAATCACTCTTCAAACTATGCTAGGAACAAGAAGCTACTAGTAGCTCCTTAGTCCTTAAGTGTCTCTAAAGATCTAGGAACCAAATCATTATATAGTGCGAGCGCTTGGAAGCTTCCCCGCCGCCGATAGGGCAGGGCAGCAGGGGTAGCTTCCTTGAAGAAGCGTGAGCTATCCTGCGTCCTAAGTAGTAGCTACCTAGCTACTAGCTAGCTAGCTCTAGCTACCTGCCTCTCCCTCCTAGCGGCCTACCTCCCTTAAAAAGGTAAACTTATTTGTGCCAGTCTCATCCCTTCCCTTCGGGCCTTGACGTGTTTGAACCACAGCATAAGGTGCGTACTCCCTCACCTGTAGGTTCTAACCAAAGGAAGCACAGAGTCAGAAGGCAAACAAAGGGCCAAACGGCTGTCACAATATGAGCATCTAATCACTTAGCCCTTGAGCGGCCAAATCTGCCTCAAAGCCAGAGAGTGCATCTCGAGAAACCACCTGACAGATTGAGCGTCAAGAGATCCGTCGGGCCACGACGTGCACCGCGCGGTCTTCAAGGATGCCAAAAGCAAAGTGCACGATTCTTGTGCAAACACCGTGTGCCATGACAAACTCTGAAACAACCTGAACCTAATCAAACTCTGTGTGCCTAATCGACACAAAGCAACTCTTCTCAGAGCGTCTGCGCCTCGTATTTGGGCGTTTCGAGCTTCGGCGTCCGTGCGGCCCAGTCCTCGTCCTTCGACTTGGCCGACCTCCGGTTTGGCAGGACAAATGGCGTTTGACAGGAGAAAGGATGCTACTAGGGGCACTCCTGGCATCGCTACTAGTAACAAGAAGCTACTAGTAACAAAGGGCATCGCTACTAGGAGCAAGGACGCTACACTCTTTCTTTATGATCTTTGCAAATTCAAGAGAATGAGAGGAAGAAAGAGAAAGACACGTGCAAGAAAGACAGGTGTTTTTTGCCAAAAAAGGAAATGGAAGAGAGAAGAGTCTAGTGACTGGATGTGTTTAACGTAACCTTTAGGAATCCAGGAATCGGAGCTTATTGGAAGCTGAACTCTGCAATCTTCGCTACTGCAAACGTGACTTGGTTCGCAATTTGGGTCCCAAAGCAACTCAAAAAGAATATTAACATACCATAGAATCATAGAAAAAAGACTGTACGGAACCCAAGAGCGATGGCCTCCAACTAAAAACAAAATAGAAAAGTAAAAATTCTAACACGGAACTGCAACAGGAAGCATGTTCATGTTGCACTTCTACAGATGAACCAAGCATGTACACCACATTTGATTGAACCAAGGAGGCACCGAAGGCAAAAACGTATCATGCAGCGATCTCCATCTTCCACTAAGGTACCTTCTCCCCTTCAAAGGGATCCCATGGTGAGAAGGTTCACGACTGATGGAGGCCCTCTAGGAAGTGTTTCAATGTGTACAGAAGTGGCTCGCCAACAGGTGCTGCTTCACGGGGTTACTACTCCAAAGACTGGCAAAAAACATGCAAGATCAACTCACAAGACTCGAACTGTAAAGAAAAACAGGAAACCAAGGCGAAGGGGCTGCCACTTAAAAACGAAAAAGACAAAACAACTCAGTTGACGGCACTCCCTTTGCATCCCTTGACTAACGTGGGTTGGAGCCCATCGCTAGCTTTCTTCAAGTCCTTTACGTTCGTAGCGATGCCCTCTTGTTCCTCGTAGCGAACATTGCTCTTAGTAGTAAGGCCAGGAGCCCCTAGCAGCGTCCTCTTGCTCCTAGTAGCGATGCCAGGAGCCCCTAGTAGCGATGCCCTTGTTCCTAGTAGCTTCTTGTTACTACTAGTAAGGCACCTGTTACTACTAGCGTGGCACTTGTTCCTAGTAGCTTCTTGTTACTACTAGTAAGGCACTTGTTACTACTAGCGTGGCACTTGTTCCTAGTAGCGATGCCCTTTGCCCCGTTCGTCTCGCCTCTCCAAGCTCCAAGGATCGGAGTTCGTCAGCTGCCGCAGCGCCACGAACAGCGCCCGCGCCTTCGAAGCCGCTAGCGGAGCCTCCTTCCCTTCAGCGTCCATGGCATCGCTCCTCTTCGAACCAAACAACGGAAGAAGTGATCGAAAAGAACTCTTTCGAAAGCGTTCGAAAAGTATTTTTTCGGATGTTCCGAGACTGCAAAGAAGAGCTTGTGTGAAAGAGCATTTGTCAGCAGAAAGATGCGAAGAAGCAAGCGAGGCCTTTTAGACCTAAGAAAAAAATCGACAACTGAAAATGATACCGTGGAGGGCCCCCTTCAACTAGGGAGAGGCGAAAATGCTACTTCGTTCATCCTTTTTGCATCATGTTCACCAGCGCAATTGAGTGTCTGTGCAGTCAAGGCTCTGCAGCACGTACCTCAACCGTTGCTCGCCCTCTCGACTTTGCTTCTGCACCACCACGGGGCTATCTGCTTGTTGTGGCAAAATGTGATCCCTCACCGTGCGATAAAGGCTGGCACACGCCGAACGATATCCCAAGAAGGGCCGCAAGCGGAGCATCTGAAGAGTCGGCGTCTCTTCCATCTGCTGCGCATACTTCTCCTCGGCTCGGCAAGGCTACCCGAGGCTATCTGGGCACCATGAGTGAACAACTGTGTAGCAGAGAAAAGAAGCATTTGTATCGTCAAGTTGCAACATGAATCTGGACGTCGACATCACCCAACCCGCCATACCAACCCCTTTTTCTGCTCTGCCCTCGCCAAGCAGCCACCTCTGCAAAAATCTCGCCACTGGCGTCGTCGTAGACCTCGGCCAGCTCCTTCAGCGCTGCCTGCCGCGTGGCTGAACGCCGCGCGAGCAGCAGCCGCCGCAGGGCTGAGCGCCACTCAGGTGGCTCTGCCGCCGGCTCCGCGACGGCGCGGCGAAGCGCGGCGTCGGAGCGTGCGGCGGGGTGCCGGCTGGGCGCTTGGGAGCGGGTGCATGACAAATGCACAAAACTGACGGCGGATGTCAACAGGAAACACCACGCAAGACCAGGTCGCCTTCGTGCCATGAGCGCAGCACGTTTGGCTTTTTCTCACCAATGGATTCTGCTTCAAAGTTCCGCCTATGACCTGTCTTCTCTTCCTTCCGGTTGATTCCTATCCCTGTCTCTCCATTCCATGGAACTGCTTTTCATCGCCTGAAGCCTTCTGCAACAATCTCATCTTCATTCCCTGTCAAACTGTTTCCTTCAAAAAGAGTTGGAGATGCGTGGAAAGCTGGCCCACTTGATGTGTTTTCACTAAATCCCGAAAAGCTGCGAGGACCGACGTCCGCTTGATGCAAGCAAACGGAATTTCCTCTCGGGATCCCTCCACACATTCGCTTCAGATCTAATTCCTGAGGCTCGCACAGGTCTCGGCTACAATACAAAGAGTCTTGACTACAATCTGCAAAGCAAAAACTTGAGCAAATCGGTCGGACAGCGGCACCTCATTCGTCTCATGCCACACCCACTACGCTCGCATGCGTTCTTTTGCTTAAGCGAACGAGGCTTTTCGGCGCTACTAGGAACAAGTGCCTTACTACAAGTAACAAGTGCCTTACTACTAGGAACAAGAAGCTACTAGAAACAAGGGCATCGCTACTAGTAACAAGTGCAAAACCGTCCAAAAGTCCGCAGGAATTCGTCCCAACCGTCCGGACTTCCAGAGTGAAGCGTCCGTTCACCCACTTGGAGCGCAAGCTCACAGACCTTTTTGGCCCAGCTATGTCACAAGCAGCGCACACTGGGCCTGAAAGGCGGCCGAACACTCAAGTCGTTTGAGTTGGACTTCCTCTCGTCACAGCGACAAGCGTGTTGCCTCCCAATGCGTCCAAGCGACATATCCAATAAGCCAATTTTTCACAACTTGAGATTCATCGGGTATAGGGTGGGTAGTTTTGCCTTGCATAATATGGATGTGGACGTGGTTGAGCTGGATGCCGCCAAGCTGGATGGGAATGTGGTGAGTAGCTGGGATAGGTCGGAGGATGGTGAGGGTGACCCGGGTGACCCGGGTGGCCATGTGGTGGGTGTGACGGGTGGGGAGGCATCGGAGCTGGGTGCGGGTGTGGGTGAGGGATGTGTGGGACGTGTGGGACGTGTGGGACGTGTGGGGCTGGGTGTGGGCGATGAAGTGAAGGCGGCCTTGGATACGGACGCGGATGTGTTGGATGCGGATGACTTGGTGGATAGGGATAGGGATAGGCACCATTGGGACCATTCGCTCTTGTGTAGGGCCTCGCCATCACAGGCTGTGCGGCTGGCCGGTAGCGAGGCGCTTCTCGGTAGGGGTAGGCCACGGCAGGCGATGCCGCCGTGGGCAACCGTCCTTGAGGATGTGTCGACGGTTGCAGGTGCGCATTCGGATGAGCTGGAGCTGGGTGAGCTGGGTGCGGGTGAGCTGGAGCGACTTGGTGGACCTGGAGAGCGTGGGGATGTGCCACAGCGGGAGGCTGTGCATCATAGTACCTGGCTGTGCATCTTTGCAAGAAGCTTAAGATCAAGAGGGCAAAAACACATGACAAAGAGAGCAAGACAAAGTAAGTCTATCCAACAAGCCTTTTGAAGTCAGCCTCCAAACCCGGCGCACTTGGCTCGCGAAGCTTGGCGATCTGCAGAGCAACATGTATCGCCAAAAGGTGGAGAAATTCAGAGGGCAAAAGAAAGTCCACGAATTCAAAGGGCATTGAGGGATGTGCATGTAGTATAAATTCAAGATGCATGAGCAAGCATGTCTATCCATTTGGGGAGCATGCCCATCCATTAATATTTCATGGAGATTCATGTGACAACCAATTTCACCCTTGGGTCATTCTCGCCACCAGCAAAGGCTTGATTGAGATGTTCCTTGAAGACTGCCGATCCTGGACCCCGTCCCTGCACAATGCCCACGTCTGCAAAAGCACACTTTTCTTCGAAAGTACATGGGCTGGCATGTTGCCAGCGACGTAAAAGAGAAGAGCGGACTTCCGTGAAACGACACCCAAACCAGCGACGTAAAAGCTCTCTAAGGAGGTCCAAGGATCGAAAGAAAGAAAAAAGGGTAGCGATGGTTACGTTCGTAGCGTCCTCTTGTTACTAGTAGCGATGCCAGGATCGCCCTGTTCGGAGCGTCCGATCCCTCCGTTCGTAGCGATGCCCTTTGTTCTGTTACCAGTAGCTTCTTGTTACTTATTAGTAGTAATGGCCTCCAACCAAATAGCAATGGCCTCCAAAGAAAGAAAAAAAGGACATGGCCATGGCAGCCATGAAAAGAGCGCCTCAAGTCTCAAAGAGACTCAAAGAAGAAACACGTCGCAAGATCTACGCTCGCCACCGACTATGTCTTTCTCGGTCTTGGACATCTGAGAGTCACCTCAAAGCCATGTGGGTCATGAGCCTTCTCTGAACTTCTGGCGATAACAAGGTTCGCTACTAGGAACAAGTGCCACGCTAGTAGTAACAGGTGCCTTACTAGTAGTAACAAGAAGCTACTAGGAACAAGGGCATCGCTACTAAGGGGCTCCTGGCATCGCTACGAACGGAGCAATGTTCGCTACTAGGAACAAAACAGTCTGAAACATCCAAACCTGCATTTCTTCATCCGCTTGTGAAACGTTCTGTCATTTTTACATCTCAAAAACTCTGTCCAGAAGGATTAGCCCATAAAAGAGTCTTTCTTCCACTCCAGAGACGGAAATCGTTGTCATTGAAGTGAACCCTGCTGAAACACTCGTGACCTTGGCAACATCAACTCTTCCTCCAGCGAGATGTCATCTAAGCACAATGCCTGCGACGCCGCGCTTGTCTTCGGTCCGCAGAACTCTCGGGGAAGACTTATCGGAACTACTTTTAAACAAAATCAAGGCATGAAATCCTCAACAAACCCGAAAGAAACACTAACCGGATCTCGGGCCTGACTCCATGCAATTAATGCCTGGCGAGTACAGGAGGCCAAATGACTGTCAATGTGAAATTCTCGTGCGCATGATGCTGAATGAAGAAGAGTGTTGTTATGTGTTGTCCTAGTCTGGGCAGCAAACCGCGGCGAATGAATCCAGCTGGTTCTTTGGGCAATATTGAGAACCATTCTCTTCAGAGCAATTTCAGTGGGAATCGTTTCACCTGTAGTAACAAGAAGCTACTAGGAGCAAGGACGCTACTAGGGGCTCCTGGGCATCGCTACAAGGAGCATTCTTACCAGTAACAATATTGAGAACCTTCCCAACGACGTTGCAACGAACAGCGAAGAGCACATCATCGGACACCGTCCTCTTCCTCCTCATCAAATGTGAAAGCCATAGGCCTTTGGAACTTTGCACAAAGCAGCATGTCGTAGCTTGGTCAAGAACACAAATCTTTGAACTCAAAATCTGACTGGTGCATATCTGATGTGCATATCATGGACCTTGCATGGAGAAAGGACTTGGAAAACGAAAAAAATTGAGATCGATCCAAAAAAAGAAAAGGAAGAAAGAGTCTAATATAGCTTGCTATTTGGTTGGAGGCCATCGCTAGTAGGTTGGAGGCCATCGCTCTTAGGTTGGAGGCCATCGCTAGGCACGGGCCCGAGTCACCTACCAGCTGGTGTGCCGGTGCGGGCCGAGCACTCGGGGGGCCGCGGATGGCCTACTTCGACCCCGAGCCATGGTTGGGGCAGATAGAAGATGGATCCAAGATCCATATAGCTGGACGAGCTTGGTATAGGGATTCCCATAGAGCTGTCTACCACTGCACGACAGCGCTCCGTGGGCAAGTTTTTCGGTTGGCTGGAGTTGATTTGAAGGGAGACCGCTTCACAATTTTCTCAGCGGACAAAACGATGGAAGAAGGAACGGTTGTTCTGACTGCCACGAACTCGACCACACTGATTCATGGCATGATCGATCGAACAGGATCCACGGAAGTCATCGACATCTGTTCAGGCTACGGCATCATGACTGCTGGCTACCACCTGATTGGAAGCAAAATCCGTTGCCATGTTGAGATCAACGACAGGTACGTTGATTGGTTGCGTGCTCGCCGACAGACAGTCATTGCTGGGGACATCGATAGCACTGAAGTCAAATTGGCCTTGCTGCCATATACCAAGGACCCATGTATCATAACCGGAGGTTTTGCATGCCAACCTTTTTCCCAACTGGGGGATGGGCGCCAACAATATGACCCAAGAGCTCGAAGCTTCGAAGGTATGGTATCAGCATGCTACTTGTACCAGCCGGTAGCTATGATTCTGGAATGCACCAAGGAGGCGCTCCATTCGCCATGGGTTCAAGATACATTGCATTCCTTTTGTCAGGCCGCTGGATACACGTTTCAACAACAACTGTGCCACCTGCATGAGCTCTGGCCGGCCAAGCGAACACGTTGGTGGGCTGTGATCACTCATCCTGGAGTACAGATGCCCAAACTGCAGTGCTTCCCGGCTCTTGACTTCCAACCATCGTTTCGACATTTGCTGCCCAAGATCGCCGAGTGGCCATCTCCACAGATTGTTGAACTGGCTCTTCAACCACATGAGTTGGATGCCTTCGACAACCAACCAGGAGGCTTGGGAAAGAATGCAGTCAGCCCTAACAAGCCACTGCAGACAGCCTTACATGCATGGGGTTCTCAACTCCAGGCCTGTGCGTGCGGATGCCGAGCAGGAGGATTCTCGGACAAGCGGCTTGAGGAAAAAGGATTGTATGGGGCCCTGATACCTCTGAATGGCGTCACCAACGTAAGGGGCCGTGATATCCAAAACATGAGGCACATCCACCCTGACGAAGTAGCCATTTTGCACCTGGTTCCAACAGTACACATCCAAGGGGAGCGTCGGTCGTTGCGACTCGATCTCACAGCCCTCGGCCAAATGGCCTCGCCAGCCCAGTCGATTTGGCACTTGGCACAGGTAGTTCAAGCTCTTGACAAAGTGTTTGGGGTTCAGTCCATCCAGAACATGGCCGAGCAAGCGTTGGTAGGCTTAGCCACTGAAGTCTTTGCAGCCAGGGACCTCATGCTTGCCCCGTTCGTGCATACCAAAGAATCAGCATTGTTCCAGCAAG